TGAGTAAAAATAATACTAAAATACATTCAATCATAACATAACAACAACAACACATAACATCAAGAAAAACATGCAGCCAATCCCTCACAATTCTCCGACCTAATTAAACGCCGAAAGCTTGATAAAATAAGCAGGTCTTCAAGTCCTTTTTAAAAATGTCCATGCTAGCCGAGGATTTTATAGAATATGGTAACACATTCCAGAGAGTAGGAGCCGCAACAGAAAAAGCGCGGCCTCCACTACGCCTCAACCGAGACCGTGGGACGGTTAGGAGCATATTCTGAGAGGAGCGCAGATGGCGTTGAGACTGGTAAGAAATTAACATGTCCTTTATATACTCAGGAGCCTGATCGTGTAATGCTTTATAGACAAACATTAACACCTTGTATTGTGTTCTGTATTTTACAGGTAACCAGTGAAGAGATATCAATACAGGCGTTATATGATCCCGTTTTCTGGTGTTTGTTAAGATTCTTGCAGCAGCATTTTGGACATACTGAAGACGAGAAACCAGGGATTCACTTATGCCTACATAAAGAGCATTACAATAATCCAACCGTGTGGAAATAAAGGCATGCAAAACAGTCTCCAAGTCCTTATTTGAAAGGATAGATTTCAGTTTAGACAATTTTCTTAACTGAAAGAAAGATGTTTTCACAACGCTATTAACTTGCCGATCAAAGCAGATTTCAGAATCGAAAATGACCCCAAGATTCCTCACATAACTATTATTGGACAAAGGTCCATAACTTTCAATCAGGTCATTTCGAAACAGTTTGTTCCCAAAAATAATAAACTCAGTCTTATCCTCATTTAGTTGTAAAAAATTATTTGCTAGCCATCCCTTTACCTCAGTCAAACACTTATAAAAAAATTATCAAAAGATGTACAGCCATCACACTCCAAAGGAAAATACAGTTGTAAATCATCAGCATACAAGTGGTAATTAATATTGTATTTCTTAAGAATTGACCCCAATGGTAACATATATAATGAAAATAAAGTCGGACCAAGAATTGATCCCTGAGGAACCCCCCAAGTGATAGTCGCCGATGTCGAAACATAATTTCCAATTTTAACGGAGCATGTCCTGTCATGCAGATATGAGAAAAACCACTTAAGGGTTACGCCCTTAATCCCAACATAATCTCTAAGGCGTTCTATTAGGATCGCATGATCTAGAGTATCGAAGGCTGCACTTAAATCTAACATCATTAAGGCAACATTTTTCCCAGAGTCAATACTTAACAAAATATCGTTTGTAACCTTTAATAATGCTGATTCTGTACTATGTTTGGTCCTAAATCCAGACTGAAAGATATCCATTATGTTATTTCCAATCAAAAAGTCAACAAGTTGATTATGGACAACTTTCTCTAAAATCTTATTCATAAAAGGCAATTTGGATATAGGCCTAAAATTTTTGAGATCCTGTGAATCTAAGTTTATTTTCTTTAAGACTGGTTCAATAACGACATGCTTAAACCCTAATGGTACAATGCCATAAAATAAACTACTGTTAGTAATCGATAATATACTGGGACCAATAGTGTCTACCACCTCCTTAAACAATCGAGATGGGAGAATGTCATAAAGCGAGGTAGTCGGCTTTAAATGCAATATTATATTTTCCAACTGAGCTAATGTAATCGAATCAAATTTACTCAAACAATGAAATGGATTTATTACCGTGGCTACAACATTCCCTACTGGCACAATATCCGACTGAATCTGATTGACCTTATCAATAAAAAAGTTTTAAAAACTCTCACACAGATCCTTAGATGGAGTAGGGAAAATATTAATAGACGGACTCAATACTTTATCTATGATTGAAAACAATACCTTCGGGTTATTAGAATTTTGCGATATAATTCATGAAAAATACGAAGATCTTGCGGCTTTAACAGCATTTTGATAGTTTGATAGGGACTCTCTAAAAATATCATATGATACTTGCAATTTATCTTTAAGCCACTTACGCTCAGCATGCCGACAAACCCGCCTCATATTACGAGTCACGTCATTTAACCAAGGTTGTTTTTTAACTTTATGACATCTCAATTTAAAAGGGATCTATACAGGATCTCAAGGGGAACTAATGGGTGTGACCCCTGAGCAGAGTTGAAATGTGTTCCGGTCTCTTGGCAGAGATTACGACACTATTCTTAATTCCCTCCACGAGACGCTGTATGCCCTTAAGTGGACACAATCTGCTGGTTTCCCGTTTCATGCAGGGACGAGACGGCTTAGGCCTTTCCGGCCAGCACAGATTCCTTTTGGGACTTATTTTCGGTTGGAAGGCCTGGCAGGCCGTCCTTTTGAGCCGTTTACGTCTGTCAGATAACCTCAGTCAGATAGTCTCAGTGAACCTATGAGAGGGAACATCTCGGTTACGTATGTACCCTTGGTTTCCTGAATAGGGAACGAGATGCTGCGGTGCTGGCCGTTCCGTACCTTCAATAGCATTTCCTTCGTCATAGTGTAAAATCTGATGGAATAGTGCACAGCACTCATATATGAGCATACATGACGTATGCTTGGGGCGGTGCTAAGCGCTATTGGCCAATAAATTGGCGTGATGGTATAAGGGCTTCAGACATTCGTCACACTGGAGGTGTTCCCATAGCGATGACGTCATCGCAGCATCTGGTTCCCTATTCAGGGAACCAAGGTTACATACGTAACTGAGATGTTTCCCAGGAAAATGAAGTGTACATCTGATGGACACATCGCACCCTACCATATCCCAGAATCACTTGCGCGCAGATGACGACGGTGTTTATATTCAAAGAGCAATGGGTGAGAGTTCTGTGGGGGAATTCACATTGAAATGTAAGTATTGTGTTTTCATTTACTCAAATACCTCTTCGTCATAGTGTAAAATCTGATGGAATAGTGCACAGCACTCATATATGAGCATACATGACGTATGCTTGGGGCGGTGCTAAGCGCTATTGGCCAATAAATTGGCGTGATGGTATAAGGGCTTCAGACATTCGTCACACTGGAGGTGTTCCCATAGCGATGACGTCATCGCAGCATCTCTTTCCCTATTCAGGGAACCAAGGTTACATACGTAACTGAGATGTTTCCCAGGAAAATGAAGTGTACATCTGATGGACACATCGCACTCTACCATATCCCAGAATCACTTGCGCGCAGATGACGACGGTGTTTATATTCAAAGAGCAATGGGTGAGAGTTCTGTGGGGGAATTCACATTGAAATGTAAGTATTGTGTTTTCATTTACTCAAATACCTAGCGAAAAAAGTTTTAAAAGCCAGGGTTTTTTTTTTTACACAAAGCCCACAAACAATAAGAGAACCACTATATAAGGCAATAGTCTTTCCCTTTGTTTGTGTTTTTGTAGTGCTGTCATGCAAGATATGTCTACAAATGTTTTAACCAAACTTTAGCACTTCAGTATTTTCTTCAGACATTCGTCACACTGGAGGTGTTCCCATAGCGATGACGTCATCGCAGCATCTGGTTCCCTATTCAGGGAACCAAGGTTACATACGTAACTGAGATGTTTCCCAGGAAAATGAAGTGTACATCTGATGGACACATCGCACCCTACCATATCCCAGAATCACTTGCGCGCAGATGACGACGGTGTTTATATTCAAAGAGCAATGGGTGAGAGTTCTGTGGGGGAATTCACATTGAAATGTAAGTATTGTGTTTTCATTTACTCAAATACCTAGCGAAAAAAGTTTTAAAAGCCAGGGGTTTTTTTTTTACACAAAGCCCACAAACAATAAGAGAACCACTATATAAGGCAATAGTCTTTCCCTTTTTTGTGTTTTTGTAGTGCTGTCATGCAAGATATGTCTACAAATGTTTTAACCAAACTTTAGCACTTCAGTATTTTGTATGCATGTGCTGCTGTGTCATATTTTCTAATGTTAAGATTGCAATGCAAACCTATCTTTATATTTTTCATAAGTGTTTCCATTTTCTCTTGTTTTAGTACTATTCTGGAGAAAATGAGACTGCTGGGGAAAGACTTTAAAAAAAATACAAAGTAAGCAAGTTAATAGACACATTTTTGCTGAAATTCATTGTGCTGTTGTTGTTAACAGGCATGGTTTATTTGCTCTGCCTTAGGATTGCAAGTATCCTGGGACAGATGAGGGAGTGAGTGGAAGCTGGTGGAGCTGCTCAGGGAGGACATCAAACTCCAGAGAGAGACAGAGGAGAGAAGAGCACAGGAGAGCAAGGAGAGAATGGAGGGACTGTTTTCTCTTCTTCAGAGGATGCTTAACAAATACATTATTATAACCATTTTCTATTAGGCAAGGGAAAGCAGTGGAAAAAATGGGTACATTACAGTTTTTCTAAATCTT